ATGTTCTATCACAAACGTTTCCCAAGTCGCCCCTTCGCCTTCCCCTTTGAGTCCCCAGTAACATTCTCTTGGTAGGATGAGAGAGGCCTCTTGGGAATCATAGGAACAGAACTACCTAAATTGTACAGTGGTACCTCGGGTTACATACGCTTCAGGTTACAGACTCCGCTAACCCAGAAATCGTGCTTCAGGTTAAGAACTTTGCTTCAGGATGAGAACAGAAATCGTGCTCTGGTGGCACGGTGGCAGCAGGAGACCCCATTAGCTAAAGTGGTGCTTCAGGTTAAGAACGGACCTCCGGAACAAATTAAGTACTTAACCTGAGATACCACTGTATAGCAATTTATTCATTTATATGACTATAGCGGCAAGAATATTACTTTCCGCAAAATGGAAAGAAATCCCAGCAAAGGAAAAAGGAATACAAAAACTTATGGAAACGTCGAAACTTACCGGAAGAATAAGAAATCAAGAAAACAAACTTTTATAAAAGAATGGAAATGGTTTATTGAATATTTACAGATAAATTGTAAACAGATAAAAACACTTGCAGGATTATTGTAATAACCTGCAGCTACATTAAGAGTACTGTACAGTGGTACCTCTGGTTATGTACTTAATTCATTCTGGAGGTCCGTTCTTAACCTGAAACTGTTCTTAACCTGAAGCACCACTTTAGCTAATGGGGCTTCCCGCAGCTGCTGCGCCGCCGCCGTGCAATTTCTGTTCTCATCCTGAAGCAAAGTTCTTAACCCAAGGTACTATTTCTGGGTTAGCGGAGTCTGTAACCTGAAGCGTATGTAACCTGAAGCGTATGTAACCTGAAGCGTATGTAACCTGAGGTACCACTGTATATATTTAAAGGAGATAGACAAATAAGTTAAGTTAATTTGAATATGCAGAAGATATTTAAAATAAAAATAAATTTAAGGAACCACAGAAAGCGGGGGAAGGAAGTCAAGATTTAAAATGTCAAAATGATTGTAAAATCAGTGAAATGTATATATCTGAATAGTATAAATAATTTTTTTTAAAAAAGAGGATTGGGAGAGGCGCCTTGCCTGGAACCCTGGACAGCCGCTGCCAGTCAGTGTAGACAACACTGCGCTAAATGGACCAATTTTCTGACTCTGTATATGGCATCTTCCTTTGTTAGACTCACCCCAAACACCACCCCCTTCCGCCCCCAAAAGCCAGCAAGCTTGGGAGCTGTCCAGAATTCTTCACCAGAAACTTCCTTGCAGTTTCACGGATAATTTGGAATTTATTTATTTTCTCTCCCTTTGCGCCTTTGGAAGGAGTCGCCCAAAATCCACGATTGCTAGAGAGACTCTGTGTTCATGTCTCTCTTTTTTTTTTTTTTTTTTTTTGCAAAGGGGGACGATAAACAGCGACGGCCACTTCCTGTTCCTTCCTCTCTCTCTGTCTCCTTTTCAATCGCTCCAGCAAAACCCATTTGCAAATCGGCAGCTGCAGAGCCGCTTCTTTTGTGCGCGTGTTGCTGCGCGCTGCGCTCTTGCAGGCGGGCGGTGCGTCGGGAGGGCTTGCGGAGGTAGGAAAGTTGCTTCCCTTAAAATCATGCTTAGTCTTCCTTCTCTTTTCCCTTTTTTTCCAGTGGGGGAGGAGGAGAGACAAAAGGCGAGGTAGTGCAGCGAGGGGGGACAATAGGAAACTCCCCTTCTCTTCCTGGGCGGCTGAAAAAGCTGGATCGCAAATATTTAGATCTCTGTCTGGAACAGGGGAGGAGGTGGGAGAAGAGAAACCTTCATAATCCAGGATTATGGCAAAGGGGGCCTTTTTAAGGTTGCCAATGGACTGGGCAGTGTGCGAAAGCCTGATTTTGCTCTTGGACGGCGGCTGGATGTGCAGAAATGTGCAAGAAAAAAGCAGGTGTGGAGCTTTTTTGCCACACAGGGACAAAGACGCCTGCAGATCGGGATGCTGTCCAAAGGGACAGCTGCAGGCTGGCGTTGGAAAAGTTAGCAAACCCCTCCTACCTACCCTCTTCCTCCTCCTTTTAAACGCAGGTCGATCTGAGAGCCTGTGCTCAGTGGCAGAGTAGCTGTCCTGCATGCAAAAGGTCCAAAATCCCTGCCATCTCCGCTGGCAATGAAATCCCAGAGAGCGGCTGCCAGTCAGTGTAGACAATCCTGAGCTCAGTGAATAATAATAATAATAATTTATTATTTGTACCCCGCCCATCTGGCTGGGTTTCCCCAGCCACTCTGGGCGGCTTCCACAGAGACCAAAAATACACTAAAAGGTCACACATTAAAAACTTCCCATTCAGATGTCTTCTGAATGTCAGGTAGTTGTTTATCGCTTTGACATCTGATGGGAGGGCGTTCCACAGGGCGGGGTGCCACTACCGAGAAGGCCCTCTGCCTGGTTCCCTGTAGCTTTGCTTCTCGCAATGAGGGAACCGCCAGAAGGCCCTCAGCGCTGGACCTCAGTGTCCGGGCAGAATGATGGGGGTGGAGATGCTCTTTCAGGTATACTGGGCCGAGGCCATTTAGGGCTTTAAAGGTCAACACCAGCACTTTGAATTGTGCTCGGAAACGTACTGGGAGCCAATGTAGGTCTTTCAAGACCGGTGTTATGTGGTCTCGGCGGCCGCCCCCGGTCACCAGTCTAGCTGCCGCATTCTGGATTAGCTGTAGTTTCCGGGTCACCTTCAAAGGTAGCCCCACGTAGAGTGCATTGCAGTAGTCCAAGCGGGAGATAACTAGAGCATGCACCACTCTGGCAAGACAGTCCGAGGTTTAGCTCCGGTACATGACAGCTTGCTGTTTCTCTGTACAAGGCAAGCAGAAGCTGCCAGCTTTAAGCCTCAGTGGCCTCTCCAGTCACCGTGTGGTCCTCAGACAAAGGGCAGGATGTGGATTTAATTAATTAAATAATAGCAATAATACTGCTCTCCCTGAAACACCCAGAGAGCTTCTGCCAATCAGTGCAGACAGTTCTCAGCTGGATGGACCAGTGGTCCAGAACTCTGCTACAAGGCGGCACAGCACTGACACGGGAACAAAAGCGGAAGCTGTCTTATTCCACGCCAGAAAATCAACACTGACTGGCAGAGGCTCTCCAGGGTTTGGGGCAGCAGCTTTTCCCGTTCTTGCCCAGGGGCACCGGAAATCGCACCCGGGATAAGGCAGACGCTCAGGCCCTGAGCTACGGTGCTTCCAGGAACTAGGCAGAGGGCCTTCTCGGTGGTGGCGCCCGCCCTGTGGAACGCCCTCCCATCAGATGTCAAGGAAATAAGCAACTCTCTGACTTTTAGAAGACATCTGAAGACAGCCCTGTTTAGGGAAGCTTTTAACGTTTGATGTTTTATCGTGTTTTAAATATTTTTAGGGGAGCTGCCCAGAGTGGCTGGGGAAACCCAGTTAGATGGGCAGGGTATAAATAAAGAAATTATTATTATTATTATTATTATTATTATTATTATTATTATTTCCCCCCCACAAACTTGAGTCAGCCCTGGTTTTAAAGAGCCCCTTGGGAGAAGCTTGCAGATTAGTGTGTATGAGGTATAAGGGGCAGCCTTGGGGAAAGTTTTTGGGGAGCGAGTTCCTGTGGCCCTTTCATAACTTATCCTTTGCTCCAGAGGTCATTGCAATGTCAAGTGTTGCATATTCAAAAGAGCATCATTTGTGTCTGGGTGGGCTAACGGTCATTCCGTCAGGACGCAGGTGGAGCTGTGGGTTAAACCACAGAGCCTAGGACTTGCCGATCAGAACGTTGGTGTTTTGAATCCCCGCGACGGGGTGAGCTCCCGTTGCTCGGTCCCTGCTCCTGCCAACCTAGCAGTTCGAAAGCATGTCAAAGTGTGAGTAGATAAATAGCTACCGCTCCAGCGGGAAGGTAAACAGCGTTTCCGTGTGCTGCTCTGGTTCACCGGAAGCGGCTTTGTCATGCTGGCCACATGACCTGGAAGCTGTACGCCGGCTCCCTTGGCCAATAAAGCGAGATGAGTGCTGCAACCCCAGAGTTGGCCAAGACTGGACCTAATGGTCAGGAGTCCCTTTAAAGGTAAAGGTAAAGGGACCCCTGACCATTAGGTCCAGTCGTGACTTTGCAACTAGAAAAGTAGGGGATTTAAAATAAATATATAAGTGAAGTGGAAGTATATGAAAATAAACATTGTTTTCCATCTTTCCCATTGTTTTGTTTCATTTCGAAAAATAACATTTTACTTTGCGGTTTACAGTGGTCCCTCTGGTTAAGAACTTAATTCGTTCTGGAGGTCTATTCTTAACCTGGAACTGTTCTTAACCTGAAGCACCTCTTTAGCTAATGGGGCCTCCTGCTGCTGCCTCCAGGCGATTTCTGTTCTCATCCTGAAGCAAAGTTCTTAACCCGAGGTACTATTTCTGGGTTAGCGGAGTCTGTAACCTGAAGCATTTGTAACCCGGGGTACCACTGTATTATTGTTTATTCTATTGTTTCTATTTTGAATTAGATCTCTTTGGGGCACCAAAATCATTTAAGTGCTCAGGGGCCTCTAAAGGTCTTAATCTGACCCTGCAGGAGAGCCACTGCCAATAGTGTGGGAAATACCGAGTTAGAGGCCTCGGTCCAGTATACCTGAAGGTGTGTCTCCACCCCCATTGTTCTGCCCGGACACTAAGTTCCAGCGCCGAGGGCCTTCTGGCGGTTCCCTCACTGCAAGAAGCCAAGTTACAGGGAACCAGGCAGAGGGCCTTCTCGGTAGTGGCACCCGTCCTGTGGAACGCCCTCCCACCAGATGTCAAACAGAAAAATAACTACCAAACTTTTAGAAGACATCTAAAGGCAGCCCTGTTTAGGGAAGCTTTTAATGTTTAATAGGTTATTGTATTTTAGTGTTTTGTTGGAAGCCGCCCAGAGTGGCTGGGGAAGCCCAGCCAGATGGGCGGGGTATAAATAATAAATTATTCTTATTCTTATTCTTATTCGACCCATGGTCAAACTCACCTGTCCTGTTTAGGTCACTTCTCACTCTCGTTTTCCTTTTTTAGCCTGAGAAACGTATTTTTCAAAGAAAATTCCCGCCGCTGGAGAACAAATGAGTGACAGCAAAGAGGAGGACACCGAGACGAAAACCCCCGACCTCATGGAAGCGTGTGGGCCCTTGCTGGAGGCGCCCGACGGCCTTTCCGGCTTTCACGACATGGAAGGCATCTGCGAGATCAGCCATCTCCCGGAAGGCCCGCCGGGCCTCCTCCCCGTCTTGGACGAAGGCGGCTCGGTCGAAGGGACGTCCTACATCTGCACCGAATGCGGGAAGAGCTTCTGCAGCATCTCGAGCCTCATCAGCCACCAGAAGAGGAACCACTCGGGGGAGAAGCCCTACAAGTGCTCCGACTGCGGGCGCAGCTTCCACCAGAGCTCGGACCTGGTGAAGCACGAGCGGATCCACACGGGCGAGAAGCCGTACCAGTGCTCGGTGTGCGAGAAGCGCTTCAACCAGCGCTCCTACCTGATCGTCCACGAGCGCTTCCACACGAAGGAGAAGCCCTACAAGTGCTTCCTGTGCGGCAAGAGCTTCTGCTCCAACGCCCACCTCATGACGCACCAGAGGACCCACACGGGCGAGAGGCCTTACCAGTGCCCCGACTGCGGGAAGCGCTTCAGCACCAGCTCGAACTTCGTCAACCACAAGAAGACCCACACGGAGGAGAAGCCCTTCAGCTGCTCCCTCTGCGAGAAGAGCTTCAAGCGCAGCTCGAACCTCATCCAGCACGAGAGGACCCACACGGGCGAGAGGCCCTACACCTGCTTGACGTGCGGGGAGAGCTTCGCGTCCAACTCGGGCCTGGTGAAGCACCAGAGGAGCCACACGGGCGAGAGGCCCTACAAATGCTCCTACTGCGGCAAGAGCTTCAGCCAGAGCATGATCCTCACGCAGCACGAGAGGACCCACACGGGCGAGAAGCCCTGCAAGTGCCTCGTCTGCGGAAAGAGCTTCCGCTCCAGCTCCGACCTCGTCAAGCACAAGAGGACCCACACGGGCGAGAAGCCCTACAAGTGCTCGCTGTGCGGGAAGAGCTTCACCACCAGCTCGGACGTGGTGAAGCACGAGCGGACCCACACGGGCGAGAAGCCCTACAAGTGCGGCACCTGCGGGAAGAGCTTCAGCCAGAGCGCACACCTCATGCAGCACCAGAGGATCCACACGGGGGAGAAGCCGTACATGTGCCTCGTCTGCGGGAGGTGCTTCACCTGCAGTGCGCACCTCGTGGTCCATAAAAGAACCCATAAAGACCGGGAGGCTTTGCAAGCCTAAACTGTTTTGGTCTTTAGGGGGCTTTTTTGAGGGGTGTGGGGAGTGCTTCCTGTGGGATGGGGAATGGAAATGGCTTTACTCCCCGGTCTGACATAGTTGAGCAGCAAAGATCCCATGCAAAAAAAAGAGAGGAAATCTTAGGAGCACAGCTGTCAACTTTTCCCTTTTCTTGCAAGGAATCCTATTCGGAATAAGAGAATTTCCCTTAAAAAAGGGGAAATGTTGACAGCTATGCTTAGGAGCGTACTATGCAGTTTCTTAAACCAGACTTTTATAAAAACAATGTGGAGCCTGTTTTTAGAGGAGTGTGTGAAGCAGAAAAATTTAGTACAGTGGTACCTCGGGTTACATACGCTTCAGGTTACAGACTCCGCTAACCCAGAAATAGTACCTCGGGTTAAGAACTTTGCTTCAGGATGAGAACAGAAATCTCGCAGCGGCGGCGCGAGGCCCCATTAGCTGAAGTGGTGCTTCGGCGGGAAGGTAAACAGCGTTTCCGTGCGCTGTTCTGGTTCGCCAGAAGCGGCTTAGTCATGCTGGCCACATGACCCGGAAGCTGTATGCCAGCTCCCTCGGCCAGTAAAGCGAGATGAGCGCCGCAACCCCAGAGTCGGCCACGACTGGACCTAATGGTCTGGGGTCCCTTTACCTCGGGTTACAGACGCTTCAGGTTACAGACTCCGCTAACCCAGAAATAGTATCGTGGTTTAAGAACTTTGCTTCAGGATGAGAACAGAAATCATGTGGAAACAGTGGGAGGCCCCATTAGCTAAAGTGGTACCTCAGGTTAAGAACAGTTTCAGGTTAAGAATGGACCTCCGGAACGAATTAAGTACATAACCAGAGGTACCACTGTAACCAATTTAATCGTATTATGCATGGGGGGGGGGGGAATCCTGCCCAGCTAGGAAAGAAGCCATAACACTTCCACACAGGCCTGTTCCTGTACTTCGCTGAGTAACGCAGGCGGTAACGCCAAAGTGAACCTGACCAGGTTTCTCGGCGCAGTCAGTGGATCCCCGGCCTGTTTTTAGGGCAAATGGGGCGCCATCCCACCAAACTCCATCCTTGACATGCGTTCCCACTTGCATCCAGTCCAAGGGGTGGCGCTGTCTGTCGGCTTCTTCCTCCTTGGTCTCAGTGTGGCCCTTGTAGAACTCCATAACAGGGGATCAAGCCCAGCGTTAGTTGGCTGTGCCTGTCGCTGGCTCTCTGGCGCCACCTACTGTCGGCCTCCCTACCTTCCGCCCTACCGATATCAATGGAACCCAGCGACACATTCGTGCAAGGGATCAGAGCATATATTGTGCTAAGGCACTCTGGGTCATGGGATTTTTGGTGCGGAGGAGAGATGCAGCTGCAAGAGCAACTGCAGGCAGGGAAGCAGCTACAGAAGCAAACCGTCGGTGCAAAAAAATAAATAAATGGGTTTTTCATGCATTACTGTATGTTATTTCATGGTAATAAATAGATGGTTGTTTTGTGTGCAGGCCTTCTTTATCAAGAGCCCTAACCTGTGCATCAGTACCTTGGGTCATGTGGGTTTTGCAGCATTCTGACCCAGACCCAAACTGCTTGATTCCCCAATATGAGGACCACACTTACAGTCGAACCTTGGTTCTTGAACACCTTGTGAGTTGGAACGTTTTGGCTCCCGAACGCTGCAAACCCATAAGTGAATGCTCTGGTTTGCGAACGTTATTTGGAACCTGAACGTCCGACACGGCTTCCGAGGCCTCCGATTGTTCTTCTGTCAACAGCTCTTCATAAGCTGCCCATTCACTCTTTACATTAAATTTTTTTCCAAGGGGTATTATCGGAGCTTTTTTTTCTTTAAATGTTTTGGGGTACTCTCATTTTGACTCAAGAAAATCACTGGGAAAGGAAAGGAAGCCGCCGTCAGAGGTGGTAACAATGAAACTGACCAATCACCGTGCTAGATTCCAACTCCTACTTCACACATTAAACGCTCGCTTCCCTCTGAGACTCAGGAAACACCATGACAGGAAATGAGGCTGCCATCAGGGGTAGCAACAGAACTGACGATTCACCGCTCTGGAGAAGAAACTAATTTTTATTATTTTAGTTTCTTCTCCCGTTAGGTTCACAAAATGTTTAGGGGTATGCATACCCCTGCATCACCCCAGAAAGAAAGCATTGGGTATTATAGTCTTTTAAATATATGGTGCAAATGTAGCCCTAATGAGCACCAGCCTCCACTACTGGCAGAGAGAAAATGGCTAGGGAGAGGTTTTTCTCCCTCATCAGCTTGGACCCCAAGGCTGAAGCTGAACAGCAGGAGATTCAGAGCAGGCGAAAGGAAGACTTGCATAATTTAAAAAATGGCATTTGCTGACACAAGCTGTGGTGATGGCCGCCAAATTGTGGATGGCTGTGAATGAAAAAGAAATCAGTGGCTGCTAGTATAGTCTGAGGCGGTGCATGAGGCTACCATCTTGCTTGCTCTGGTCACTGAGAGAATAGGTGGCCATTTGGGAGCCATCTTGTGTGTGAGAGAAAACCCTTTTTCCCTCACAGAAATGAGGGTTTTCCTAACAATTCTCGGCACACTGAAGAAACGACACTTGCCAGGATTCTTTGGGGGAAGCCATGATAGTTAGTGTGATATGATAGTGCTTTAAATGTATGTTGCAGGTGGCACAAGTTTTTGCCCTCTTCACATATATAGGGGAGATACTATCCCTGTTTTTTCCTCAGAGCTTGTTTCCAAATCCCTCAAGCATCCTCATTGTCTTCTGAGCTTCTTCCAATGTGTCTTCATCCTCCAGATGAAGACTGACTCCAGATGAGTTCTGGGTTACGGCAAAATAAACTCCTTTTGAGTATTGGATAGGAATTACGAGGCAGATTTCTTTAAAGATGTAGGCCTTTGTCCTGTTCCCAAACGGACCATTCCACCGTGAATTTCCCCCAGCACTTCAAACTACACAAGAGCGTGCTTATTCAAGTAAGGGATCGTGGTTGTACATGGTTGACACAAAATTAAACATTCCAGGCAATACAGGGATGGAAAACCTGTGGCTTTCCACTGGTTCGGTTGGACTCCAACTCCCATCAGCCCCAACCGGCATGACCAATGGCCAGGGATGATGGAAGTTGGAGTCCAGCACCATTTGAAAGGCCACTATCCAAGGATAGTGCAGCCTGGGAGAGCGAGCTTCCATTTCACAAAATGTGCACCAGCCTGGATGAAAGACAAAATGCTCATAGACCTGATGCATTTAGTTAATAGGCAATCTATTCGGAAGACAATTACCGTATTTTTCGCCCTATAGGGCGCACCGGCCCATAGGGCGCACCTAGTTCTTTTTGGGGGGAAATAAAAAAAATTATTTCCCCTCCAGGCCTGAGCTTCCCCCGACCCCAGCCCCCAGAACAGGCTGCTATCCGCAAGCCTGGGGAGCCCGACGGGAACTCCTGCCGGTCTCCCCAGGCTTGCAGATATCTGCCCGAAGCCCAGGGCGCGCTCCGCTGCGCTCCCCAGGCTTCGGGAAGCAGGCTGCTATCTGCAAGCCTAGGGAGCCCGGCAGGAAGTCACGCCGGGCTCCCAAGGCTTGCGGAGGGCTGCCCGAAGCCTGGAGAGTGAGAGGGGTTGGTGCGCACCGACTCCTCTCGCTCTCCAGGCTTCAGCGAAAGCCTGCATTCGCCCCATAGGACGCACACACATTTTCCCTTCATTTTTGGAGGGGGAAAAGTGCGTCCTATAGGGTGAAAAATACGGTATACTTCGAGGCGTTAGTTGATCTAGCATGGTCATTCCTTCCTGTCTCTGTTTGCTTCCCCTATCTCTTGTTCAGCTCTTTGATGGCTGAGAACAGCCTTTAATCTGTTGGAAGGAAGTGATAATGCAGGGTACCTTCTGACCTTTTTTGATGTTAGACATTGTTTGGAGAACGTGTGGCATGGGAAGAGGTGGTTAGCTATAAATCAGATGGTTTTGGGGCAGAGTTCTTTGAAGCTCCCGCACGAACTATCTCATGCTCTCTCTGCCACCCTATCTCTGTGGGCCGAATGAGAACAAGGACCACAGACAGCCCATCTCAGGTTTCGTCTCCAACCTTGAATGGAGCCTTGAAATGTCTCTGTGGAACAAGGACCACAGACAGCCCATCTCAGGTTTCGTCTCCAACCTTGAATGGAGCCTTGAAATGTCTCTGTGTGCGACCCCAATCTGTGCTTACATTCAGAGCACTCCGATACCACTTTTAACATCCACAGCTTCCCCCAGAAAACTCCTGGGAGCTGCAGTGAGGGAGGCAGAGAGTTGTTGGAGAACCCCTACTCCCCTCACTGAGCTCCAGTTCTCAGAGTTGCCTGGGGAGGGCGATTGACTCTTAAACCACACTGCAAATTGCAGCTCTGCAGGGCAGGCCAAAGACATTTTGGTGCCTGAGGCGAACCACAAAATGGGGTCTCCCCTCCCTGCCAGGGAAGAAGGGGTGAGGGGCGATCTCCATCAGGAACAAGAGTGGAATCAAATCCTTTCCTTATGGTTGAAATGGGAATCAAAGGCTATTCGGGGGGGGGGGGGAAGGGGCCCACTATGAATCACACTAGGTGGGTGCAGATCCCAGGAGGTCCCCCAGCCATTTCCGCCCTAGGGAGGAGTCTAGCAGCGCCTCCTATTCACCAAGAGGCCACAGTAGAGGCAGCACTGTGGGACGGTGTGACATTTGCCTCCTAGGTGGGTCATAAGGAAAGGGTTAAAATGAGTGTGATGTGATTGGCCAGTAGAAACTGATAGGAGGAATTAGAGTGAGAGTGGGAGTTGTGTGAAAGTCAATGGAGTGTTGGGAGTTGGAGGAGGGAGGTTATAAGTCTGTGGGTTGGTCGAGTTGTGTGGTGAGAGAATGAGAGGAATTGTTAGGTGGAGTCAGATAGTTGGGATAATCAGTTTGAAGTTGTTAGGAACGCATAGGACAGTTAAGGAACTAAGATTAAGAAACCGCCAAGAAAAATTAACTGAAACCATAAGCTTGTTCATGCCTAAAAATAAACTTGATTATTTGTTAACGTTAACAACTGACTGGACTCCGTGTGTCCCCGTGAGGAGAAACGGGTTGGTGGCAGAAAAGAAAGCAATTACAGTGGTGGCACAGGGTCAATAGACCGTCAAACGTCCGGGGGTCCTGTGTGATCACCACAGACGGCTGCCAAGGAGGCGGAAGATTCGGCCTCCAAGGAGTGTGCCTCAGCCATCGCTGTCACCGAGGTAGCAGCACATGATGGAGGCTGGATCAGCTGCCCCTGTGGATCCTGCTGTCTGAGGCAATCAGCCCACCTTGCCTCATGGGTGGGCCGGCCCTGCAGCTCTGTGAGGGAAATGGCAGGTGGGACGTAATTACTGACATCCCTTTTTAAAAAATAATATTTTATTAAATT